TCGTTTCGGCACTACTCTGTGAATTAGATTCTATTGTTATTATCACCACCAGTTTACAAATGATAAAACTCAATAACAGAGAGATTAACTTGTTCCAGGTCACAGAGCTTATAAGTAGTAAAGCTGAGGTTTGAATCTAGGCAGTTCGCTCAGTCTGTATCATTCACCATTACCATTTATCACCTCTCGTATAGCACAGATGACCTCAATCAATGTAAGGGCAGTAACCATGGCAAGTAAATGAACAATTTAAGTTGTTTTTTAAAGGTTTTGTTTTCAATGCAAAAGTCCTCTCAACACCAACCCCTGCCCCCCCCCTCCCCGCACGAACTCCGTATAACCAGATTGCACTCCCTCTCAAGTCCCTCCTATATAGAAATTCTAGAGCTGTCATCTTACTAAACATCTGGCTGAGAATTGAAGGTAGAAACTGGTGGAGATCCTTAGGAACAGGAAGCAATTCAACTGTCCAAAAGGTACAGGGATTCTTCAAAAACTAAATGTGGTGGACGGAAAAAAAAAAAAGAAAAAAGATGGAGTGGGGAGCTGTTTTAGATTATAAGTGACTAAAGAGACATTGCTATCAATACAATGCATGAAATTTGATTAAAATAAAAACAGCTGTAAAAGACAGTTGGGGTGGTTAAGAAATTTACCACTAGACTAGATAATAGCTGTTATTAAGGAATTAGAGTTAATTTTCTCAGGTCTGATCATAGTAAGGTAGTCATGTAGGAAATGCTCCATATTTTTAGGAGATACATGTTAAATACAGCATTTAGGGGTGAAGTGTCATGATTTCTAAAACTAATTTTCCAATAGTACAGGAAGAAAAATAGAAAGATTGCCCAATTTGTAAATCAAATATGGCAAAATGTTAACAATTATTGAATTTGGTGGAGGCTAGACAGATGTGTACTATAATATTCTTTCAGGCTTCCTATATCTTATTTTCATAATAATAAGTTTTGTGGGAAGGAATTCAGAGGGAGGAGGCAGTGATAGCTTACGATTGGCTGGAAGAAGGCAGTGAACCTGGCCAATGTAAAGGCTTTTAGGATTGAGTTAAAGAGCGGAGGCTTGACCACACAGGGTTGAGTGCACATACTTCATACTTTCTCAATCTAACAGAAATACAGAACTGGACTGAGGACCGGATGGGAGATTTGGCAGCTTTTCCAACAAAGATAGCAGGGGCAGCTGTAGAGGTAATAAAACTGCCTGAACTCATTCATAAAGTCAAGAAGATTGGACTCGAGATGGGGGACTCTGCATGTACTGGCGATTTTCTGGGAGCAGCTGAAGCTGCTCTGCCAGGGCTGAAACTTCCTCCCTCCACTGCTCACTAGCTGTGTGACCTTGGGCCAGTTACTTAACTTCTCCGACACACAGTTTTCTCTACTCACACTTAACTCATGGGATTGTTGTGTGTGAAGATTAAACTGAACAATGTATATAAAACGCTGAACACAGGGCATGGCCCACAGCCAACATTCAACAAATTCTACTCTCATTTTTGTCACATGAGGGAGAACCCTTGTTTGCCACTGACTATAGCAGCAAAACCATCCCAGCCCACATCTCCTGCAGTTTTGTTCACAATGCATGTATGTTTGAGTTATTTAAATTTTTTTTTTTAAAGTAAAATTGTGTGGCTTGGGGTTAGCAGTGATGCTGATGAAGTTAAACAGTGGAGATTAAGCCGTAGTGAGAAAAGTAAACATTGAGGTCTCTGCTTCAGTGTTTATCCTCAATGATACCTCATCTTTGCCTGTGTAATTATCTCTCCAGCACCAATGGATAATTCCATTAACATCACCACTTAAACCTAGCCTTGCTGGGCTGCTCAGGGTTCCCTGGCTGCTTGTGAAATCTTAGGGGTCTTGTATCATTTTAGAATTAAATAGAGAAAGTAAATTATTCAAAACATTCCTTTTTTTTTTCCTGAACAAAGATCAGTACATCCTTGACCTCATCTTTCCTAAAAATGTATTGCTGCCCAGAATATTATCTATAGCAATTCAGTGCTGGCTTTATTATGGATTTGAGGGTTGGTGTGTGTCAAATGTGACTAGTCACTGGTGAGCTGGTTTCTAATTGAGGATGAGAAGTGGGCAGGGGACATGTGAGGTTGTCTCTGAAGACTCCGAAATGCTAGAAAAGCACTCTGGCAACAAAACCCAGATCACGTATACACATAGCAGACATGATGGTGACCCAGAGAGTTACCAAAGGAAATAAAGGAGGCAAATTTCATGAGAAATTCCGCCTACACTTCCATTATTTAAAATGAGTGTATACTGTTCATCTAGGCCTTTGATCAGAAGCCCTTTTACGGGTCTCATGGCTGGTTGGCAGTTTTGACAGAGAGTATGTGAGAGTCATTAGCAAAATACTCCTATGGTGAGGAGGCTACAGTTTATGAGGCGCTTCCTTCCACATGATACCTCTTAATTCCAAATCCTCACAATAGCCTTGCCAGGTTGGCATTGTTACTACGCCATGCACACACGCTGCTGCTTATTACAGATAAGGACCCTGAGGCTCAGAGAGGTTAAATAGGGCGCCTGACACTGCAATTCAAATATGGTGGAAGGAGGACTTCAGTGGCTGTCTTTGACCTACATGGTTTTTCTGAGAGAGAAGGGAAGTGTTTCTCATTCCATTTTCACTGTGTGCAAGGGGTTTCAGGCTTCCTGTCAGTATTACAGATTTATCTTCTTTCAAAGATAGGAAGTCAGGGTGTGTGCAGGGCACACATTTCCCCCACTAGACTGACCCCAAGATGACCTTTACACTCATCTCCACTATCTGTTAATTCTTGTGTCTGGGTTCCGATGGAAGTGTTGACAGAATGAATGAATGACGTGGGATAATGGATATCTCTCTCACAAGGCTAACACATAGTAGGCATTTAAACAAGCGTTCTTTAATTTAAAAACAATATTTATTTACTAGCTCTGGCGGCAGATTTGGTCAGGAAAGAGGTCAAAGGGTTGACTTAAATTAGGTTTGAAGGTTGGCTGGAATTCAATTACCCATGACCCTCTAGTCTTTCCTGCCAGCCATGATTAATGGAGCTGGCTAAAGTAGGTTGGGATTAGTAACACTGCAATCAACTGTTTTTTGGAAAATGAAGACGTGGGAATTATCTAAGAAGCATTCAGAGGCCAGATGACATTTCTTAGGTTGGAAATATCCTTGTGATTTAGCCTAATAACAGCAAGGCTCAGATTTAGAGACAAAGGGCATACACGATAAAGCTGGGCAGTCATTGCTCCTGTTTTTTTCACCGTGCTGCTGGCTTAGCAGCTCTGCCTGACATGGGTAAATTATCATCGAGGGCTATGGATGGTTTGGATCCAGATTTCTAAAGAACACCTTGCTCTTGGATATTCGGGACATATATTAGGGAAAGAGGCCAATTGAAAAATCAGAGAACTAGTGGGCCAGCTGAGTGGCACATTGGTTAGGAGTTGGCTTGGGATGCCAGCTCTGAACAGCAGGGCCCCGGTTCAGATCCCACATGAAGGCCACTGACACTGCATCCTCTACAGCTAAGATGGTGAACAACAGCTCGACCTGGAGCTGGGCTGCCGTGAGTCACCGACGACCGTAGGCTGCAGTGGGACTGGCCTGCAGTGGGAGTGAGTTTTCAGGAGCTGCCGTGAGTTGCTGTGCGCGGCTGTCCAATGGACAACAAGTGACTGCCTCACCCGGGAAGAGCGCAATGATAATACCAACATGAGCCAGTGAAGCAATGTCCTCCACAACTAGACTGAAGAACAAAAGGACAGAAACTTGTCTGTTCCCTTTCCCCGATTCCCCAATGCTGTTCTCCTCCCCCAATTCCCTAATAAAATCTTTTAAAAAAAAAAGAAAATCAGACAAATACACAAGTTAAAATAAGAAAAAAATCTACCCTTATCATCAACACTTTCCTTTTTACCAATACAGATTTCCCTTCTCAACCTCACCCTGAGGTTTATCTAATCTCATTCCAAGGATAGAAGAAGGCCTTGAGAACCCAGGACACAGCTACAAGTTTCTTTTCATGTAAAAACATTCTTTTGGAACCAATCTCTGGGAAGGTATTTTGAAAATACGGTAATAATAGTTGCTAGCTTGTTTGTTTTTTACAATATCCACTAACTTTTTTGAATCAGCTTTCAAAATGTTCTAGTTCTCCTGCCTTTGTCTAGCAACCGTACATTTTCCACTAGTAGGTGAGGGAAACCCAAGAAGATACAACATATATTTTCCCTTTTTGTTATAATTCTAACCTTGCACCTCGGTTTTGTCCACCCTTGATTTCAGAGCCCAAAACTTGTAGCCTTTCCTAATTGCACTGCTGGCTTATGAAGGCAAATTAAGGAATCATTAAGGTACCTATCTTTGCCCCGTCCTTGGCCAAGTTGCTTAATTAACTTAGTTAAAATGCAGTCTAGTGTTATGAGAGTAATTGCACTTATGTGTCTTAATAACTTATCTGTCCCTATGCAATAGTCCACTCTAATAAAAAATATACACATACAATTTGACGTATGGATCTTCAAGCTCACAAAATGAGCTCAAACTTGAAAGAGATCCAGACTTATAACAACGTTTATTATTTTTAGAGCATTACCTAGTCATTTTGATTAATTCACTTGGAGTGCTTTTCCCTGCAGCTCCCCAGGGAGAGGTGGAGGAAAAGATGGTAAAACATAAATTTCTTTTGGTGACGAGTTCACATCTGTTTAGAACTGTAACATGGCAAATCATTGTGAAATCTTCTAATGGATGCCTGTCCCATGCCAAGTAAGCCCAGGACCAAAAGCACATAAAGAAATAATTGAAAGACACTGGACTGAATCCAAGAGGCTGTGGCTAATGTTTCACCTAATCTCTCTCCCGGTCTCTCCTGCCTACGGCTGGCCCTACCCACACGATATGCACTTCAGAGCTTCCTTGCAGCTGCTGCTTGGCTATTTGCAACCTCTAACCCCCTGGCAGAAGAATGAGAACTATGAATCCAAAAGCAAAAAAAGGGGAAAATTAGCACCTGCAGTAAGAACGGTCTGTTGGAGGCTAGGCTAGCACTGTCTTTTTCTGAAAAGGTTAGTTCTCCTCTGGTGGGGATGGGGACTGACCAGGGATAGGCCTCAGCCTGCATGTGGCCAGCCCAGGGCCAGGAAGAGGTGCCCAGTGGGCTGGCGGTGGTACTGGGTCAGCTCCCGGGACTCTGCAGCTTAGGGTGGGGAGGTATAAGAGCTGGGAAAAAAAGTTTCAAAAATACGTTTTAAAAAAGAGCCCATTTTGTTTTCAGTTCTTTTTATCTTGGCTCTATCTCTTGCACCACTGACTCCAGAACTTTAGAAGCTCAGGGTGGGGTTGGGTGGGGCTGAGTGACTTTTTTTTCTTAAAGGGAAAGAACAGGGAAGTCTCCTGGAACATTTACACTTTGCTTAAACTTGATCATAGTCATGAATAAAACCACTGAGCAGTGTCTGGTACTATTTCTTTGGAACCGGCATTTGCAAAGGTGGCATGCACAAACCAGAGAGCAGAAAGGAATTCTGCTGCTACTCACGGGGGAATTTGGACCTGCGAGATGGTCATAATGTTAATAATTGATGATTTCAGCTGGCATAAGCCAGTCTCTGAGCTTCAAGACAATATGTTTGGAATTGGCAGCAAAAACAATCATTTATTGCTAGGAAGGGCTTACTGAGTTTTGGCTATTTTAGGACACATAGAGAGATTTTTAGATCCTGTATTTCATACTCAAAAATAAATAAATAAATAAATAAATAAATAAAGCCTTCCCCCTCCCCACAAATAATTTAGCTAAGTTTTAGGTCTGGAATTTATCCTTTTAACAAAACAGATGCACTATAAGAAAACATAATATGTGAAAACTCAAACTTGCCAAATTAAATATAGAGAAATCAAGCATTTTTACAGAAGGATTTGTTATGGGAAATTTTAAATAAAAACCCTTTAAATATCTTTAGGAATTGATGTGCGTGTTAACCTTTTAGGATCATGTACAGGGAAGATACCCTACATAAACATCATTCTTAATTCGGAAACTATGCAGGCTTTGGAGTCTCGTGTCCCTGGAGTCAAATCCCAGCTCCACCACTCACAGAAGTGTGACTGAGGTCAAGGTGGCTTCACTCCTCTGGGCCTCAGTTTCCCCATCTGTGAAATGAGGGCAGTAATAATACCTGCCTCATAAGACTTAAATGAGCTGCTTGTTACACATAAAGTACTTGGGGAGTCCCTGTCACCCAAGAGATGTTTTGTGGCTCTTAGCTTCTTGTGGCTTTCTTCTTTTGCACCACTGAGATCACATGGGGCAGCCAGCAGAGAACAAAAGAAAATTCGGCCCTTCGTTGTAGCTTTAGCTTTCTCGGGTTTAGGTCAAGTAAAACGTGACCTAAACAAATACAGCCCTGACACCTATAGCTGTTTCCACCTTTCTCATATTTATTTATTGTTTAAACAATACTTACATAGCACTTACCATGTGATAGGCATGTTCTAAGCACTTGACAAATACTGACTCGCCTAATCTTTTATGACAACACTATGAAATGTGTGCTATTATTATTTCCATTTTACAGGTGAGGAAGCAGAAACACAGAGAGCTTGACTACCTGGGCCTTGACTACAATGTCACATAAGAAGTTAAGTGGCACAGCCAGGGTTTGAACCCAGGCCTGCTAGCCATCCCCTCATATGTACCATGGGTGTGTTCTTTAGTTGGGAAGCCTCGCTGAGAACAAAGCAAGACGAATGAAATACCAGGGCCAGTTCTGCACATGCTAAAACAGCAGAGCTAGAAGCATTGAAGTTGCAAAAGTCCCTGTTGATAAGCTTTCCGTAGCCACAACCTCAGAGCAGAGGGACCTAGATGAGGTTGGCTGAACAAGCAACAGGTCGATTTCCCAGGCCTTTGGCGCTCTGCCCATCTCTGTACTCCCACCGTCTGGGAGGGTGCAGCCTTGTCTCTGATTTCTTCATTCTTCCCCACACCCTCGGCTGGGTGAGTATGAATTTGCTGGCTGTTGCAGCCTGAATGTGGACAGAAGGATGGCAGAGGGAGGAAAGCACTAAAGTAATCAAGAAGAAAAGAAATAACTTGTTTTAAAAGTTCAATAACTTTTTTTTTTTAATTACAAAAGCAATACGTGTTTGTGGTGAACATTGTTAAGGGCCTGACTCCACCCCCTTTCCCAACCCCCTCCTCCCTTCCACGGTCCAGCTAGGGATGGTCACGTGACACAAATCTGGTCAATTAGGCCTAAGTCTGTCATGGGGTTCCTAGGAATGCTCTTGTTTTCCCGAGATAGGCACTGACCTTCCTGACCCCCTTTCCTTCTGAATGCGTATGCATAACTGGAGGTGCAGTGGCTACGTTAAGGCCATGAAGGAAAAGCCATGCAAATTTCAGACATTGGTTCTGGCCCTGTTTAGCTGCTAAAGCACAATAGTTTGGATTTTTATAACTTGCAGCCACAGACAATCTTATCTAAACAATGTTCTATATACCATGTTCATGTAGAAAAGTTAGAAAATACAGGGGAAAAAAGGAAAAAAGAAAAAAAAGGTCACCTATAATCCGATAATCCAGAAATAACCCAAATTAATGTTTCAATATTTGGCTCTTCAATTTTTTCCTCTTTGTACAAAAATATGAAATAATGCTCTTTTGTAATTGATTCTTTTCCTTACCAATGTGCTATGGCCATATTTCAATATCAATCATATTTATCATTGTCACTGTATAGATATTTCAAAGTTTATTTAACCAGTTCCCTCTTGTTGAACATTTGTTACTTCCATTTTTTTTTTTTTTTAAATTGGGGAATCGGGGGAAGGGGAACAGACAAGTTGCTGTCCTTTTGTTCTTCAGTCTAGTTGTGGAGGATGTTGCTTCACTGGCCCAATTTGGCACCATCATTGCGCTCTTCCCGGGCGAGGCAGATCAGTCGCTGGCTTCTGGACGGCCGTTCACTGCGGCTGCTGGCCACTCACCCTGGCTGCTGGCTACATATGGTAGCCCATGGCAACCCACTGCCACAGGGGCTGCAGCCTACGCCATCGCCGACGACCCACGGCAGCCCAGCTCCAGGTCGAGCTGTTGTTCAGCATCTTAGCTGTAGAGGGCAGTGTCACTGGCCCTTATATGTGGGATCCGAACCGGGGTCCTCTGTCGTCCTAAGCCAGTTCTTAACCAACACGCACTCGGCCGGCCCTGTTGCTTCCAATTTTTAACTGTTGTAAATAATGAGAGTGTGAACGTGTTAGGAATGCATCTTTGTCTGATTATTTCCTTAGGATTATTCCCTGAGGATAAAGTCCTAAAATTGACATGAACTGCTGGGTTAAAGAGAATGCACATTTTGGGGGCTTTATATACCTGTAGATAAAATGCCCTTCGGAAAGCTTTTACCAAATTTTATACTTTTACTTGCAATGTGTGCCTCTCCCTCACATCATTGTCAACACTGGGAATTCTCACCTTTTGAAAAATATCTGTCAGTTTAACAGGCAATATATACAGACTAATTTAATAATTTAATTATTAAGTTTAACATATGTCCATGATATCATTTGCCATTTCCAATTCTATTAGTCATCTACTATGTGCCAAACATTGGGATAGGTACTTTGCATATTTATTTCTTTTAATCCTCACAAATTCATTATCATATGTTTCATGGATGACTAAACTACAGCTCAGTGAAGTTAAGTAACTTGCACAACTAGTAAGTGATCAAACTGGGCTTCATAACTACGTCTTCCTGCCTCCAAAGCAGAAACTATAATAAAGTTTTTTTAAAAAAGGGAGGTGGGGCACTGTATACATTTTGAAGTCCTACAGGAACCAGTAGGAAAGGGCTGGCCCTCTCCAAGGGATAATTGAGGAGAGTTTGTGGGAGGAACTCTTTACAAGGTCTGGGGAGGGTTAAGAGACCAGTCAATGGCTGGTGAAGCACCAAGGGACTATCAGTGGCAGGAAGTGATGGTCATTCCAGGTCCAAAGGGGCAGGAAGAGGGACTTGATGTCTATAGCTACGAGAGAAGGGCTGACGAAGCCAAAACACAGAGCAGCGGAGACACAAATAATACACTCAACTCTGCTCTCCTGCTGATGACCCCCATTGGCCAAATCCAACCAGAAGCCAGAGGACAAGAAAGCCTGGATGAGTCATCCAAAGAAAACCCACTTCAGGGACACATGACAAGGGAATGAAGGGTTTATATTAGACCTACATGGGCACATTTGCTCTTTAGTACCTTTACAAGAGCAGAACTGTATCATCCCGCAACTAACTGTTGTCACACGTTTACAATTCATGTTCAAGGCTGCTACAGGATTAAATGCGACTTTCTCGGGAAAGGGCTTAGTACAGTTTGATATGTAGTAAGCACTCAATAAAAATGAGTTATTATTGTTTTCACACTTAGAATCGGAACGCCATTCATGTACAGGCACCACTCCTGAAGATACTTCATCTTATTCTTTTTTCCATTGGCACCTCAGCTCTCAAACCACTGGTCATAAAACAATAACAACAAACCACAGAAACAAAATAAAACAAAGAAAGGGGAAGGAAAAAAAACAATTTCTTCTTGGGTAGAACTGGGCACATTCCCCAAACCCTCCGGCTCTAAAGTATGGCCGTGGGGCTGAGTTCTAGCTAATGGAATGTGAGCAGAAGTGCTGGGCACAATTTCCAGGCCTGACTCATAAAAACCTCTCACATGCATTCCTCCATGCCATTTCCTCTTTTGCCAGGTCAGTGTCAGTGAATAGGATAGCCTCAGAATCTCTGTTTGAAGAAAGACAGAGCCCCTGTCAGTCTGTGTTTGAGTCCCCACCCCAGCCAACCTCTCCTGACTTAGAATTGCCTTGGGTCTTTATAGAAACGCAACATAAAAGTTGATGCTGTTAAACTATTGACATATTAGAGCTTCTTTGCTATAGCATCTAGTGGTATGCCACAATTAAGACAAAAAAAACAAACATATTAGTGCAATATTTGGACAAGGACCCAGACCAGCATTGACAGAAAGAAATAAGTGCATAGTGAGGCTTCTCAGGAAAGAGCTCCCCAGTTCTAAGGCCCTTGACCTTCCTTTCCCTGATGAGAACTTAATTTTGGTTTACTTAAAGTATTATGCTCAATGAAGAATCTCTCTTAGAAATACTTTAAAATGAACAGAAATTACCAAAAGTGCGAGAGGCCTGGCACTGCGTGTCAAGATCTGAGTTCACACCCAGTCCCATTCCTTTACAGCAGTGGACCTTGGGCAGGTGACCTTGACTTCTCTGACTTAATATGTACAAAGAACTGAAAACTGTGTCAGACACATGGGTGGCACTCAATGCAGGCTCGATGAATAAGAGAATCATGTGAGAAGAAAAGATAGGTGTTCGGTCCCTCCCCTCTCTTCTGTTCAACCAGGACTATCTCTGACTCCTACAGTTCCTTCTGTCTCAGAAGAAGTGTGGACAGTGATGTGGAGGAATAGGGGGACAGAGAAAGGATAAGGGCTTGGACATGACCAGCCACATGTCTCATTCCTTCCTCCTCTGAGATTGACACAGAACCCCACTCCCCGCAGCTGCTGGCTCCCAAAGTGTAGCCCTAGAGTTAGAAACCAGGCTCTGGATATAGAGTCCCTGGGTTTGAATCTTGGCTGTATCATTTACTGCAAAGCACCTGGGACAATGCCTGGCCTATGTGGCTGCTATAAACATTAGCTATTATTACTGTTACTGCTTTGGTGAAACCCTTCAGTACCTGTCAGCATACAGAGATGTTCTGGACGAGATCGTTGCCTCTTCTCCTTGGCAGATGCCAGCACAGGTTCCACCTTGAGGATGCACCTTGTCTTAAAACCCCTGCCCCCATCCATGCCTTATTTGACCGAATGCCACCAATTCAGGAAAAAAAAATTTTTTTTAATGATTTGTGAGCCTTACAAATAGACGAGAAGAAAGGGAAAGACTTCAGAACTACTAAGGCACCAGATCGGCGCTGTGAAGACAGTGACAGATGGATGGGTGACCTGGTTACATCACGTTTCAGCTGCATGGCAGGGAAACGCCAACTTTAACATCAGTTAAATGGGGAATCATCCCGCCCGATAATGAGAAGAGAAAGATAATGGCTACAGCACATTAAAACACAGAGGGTGCCAAAAATATGTATACACATTTTAAGAAAGGAAAAAAACATATTAAAATTGTAATACTCAATATATACTGATAACAAAAGATATGTATATACATTTTTTGGCACCCTGGTATATGAAGCTAAAGGTATCTATAAAATGCATATAATAGGTAGGACATATTTTCAGTATAGATTCCATCAACTTAAGGTCCCTAAAACCTAACACCCTCACACAATGATTTTATAATGTAACATGGTTTGTGTATAAAGAAAACATTATTCTGCATAGCTGCTGGGGTGAACCCAAAGTTCCCGGACCTAAGGTCTTGCTGTTGTTCCATAGCCAGGGCCAGGAGGAACATTTTAGTTAAAAGAATAGGCTGAGAAATGGAGAAATAGAGATTATTCAGGCCCACCTACTATGTGCCAGGTGTTTAACAGATGCCACCTCATTTAATCAGCATTAATCTATGCTTTACAGATAGCTCTCAGGAAACCATCTATTCCTGTGCTGAAAGCATACCTCAGGAATTATCATGACCTAGATTTAAAGCTGGACGCTGCCACTTTCTAGCTGTGTGATATTTAGAAAAGTTACAGAACCCCTCTGAGTTAGGGACGAGTAAGGAGGCCAGCATATGTAACACTGGTACATAATAGGTACCTACCTGATCAACAGGAATTTTTTTCTCTTGCTCTTATTAGTGGTTTTTAACTTTGACTGCACATTGCAATCACTTGAGGAGCTTTAAAAATATACTTGCCTGAGCTTTTCCTCCAGAGATTTGGATTTAATTGGTCCAGGGTGGGGCCTGGCCATGGGCATGGGGATTTTTAAAAGCTCCCCCCCCCGGGG